GAATATATGCTATGCACTGAGCCACAGTGGAAGCTGTCTTTGTACTGGATGTCAGACACAGTCTCTGCAAGTATCAAATGCAAGAAAGAACGGCCTCAAACTCAGCAGAGACTTCTAGAAGAGGATCTGATTCAACTATGTTCTTGTACCTCTTGTATTCTGCTGCTCTATCACTTCCAGTCTTATGTGAAGGTGGGTAAGGAAAAGAGAAACACAGCAGAGCTGTAGAGGCAGGAGCTGCTACAAGCAGGACACTAAGAAATCCAGGTGCTCTATTATCAAAGCTGCACATATGGTCAAGACTTAATGGGCACTGTTTTTTTTATATGGGTGTTGCAGAGACACTGGGGGGTGCCTGGCTCTTTCACGCCCAGCTCTGTGATGGCTCATGCCAGTGACTGCTGTCCTGAGCTACATACCCACCCAGGTTTGGTTTTCCCTTCCTTACAACATGAGGTGGCTCTGGAGAGCATGGCCGGCCCTGTGTGGCTCAGCACAGAGCCCACCTTCTGGCCTCTTTCACCATTGACACAGTTAATGGAGAGAGGAAACTTTCAGCCCATCACTGGGCAATGGTTTGGAACCAGACAGGAAGGCTCCCTTGGTGCTCACAGAGTGCTTGGCCTCCAGCTAAAGCAGCTGACTGCATCCCCTGGGAGCAGAGACCCCCAGCACATCTGCCATCCTCTCCTGCATGCTGCTGTGTCACCACAGCAAGCTGTGACACAGGTGGGAGGGATGGAAGCCTAACAGCCATGCCCAGCCCTGCCAACGTGTCCTGCCCTAGCGCCTCCTCTGGAGAAATGTTCATCCCTGGCTGTTTCTGATGCAGGGGAGTGAAATATTTGGACATCCATGTGTGAATGAAGCAAAGGGACTCCCTGAAGTCAGCTGCCTGGATAGGCCTTCTCAGGAGGCCTCCCCATGGTTTAGAAGCACACACAGCCTGGCTGTCCTGCAGCCCAGCCCACCATCTGGTCACACAATGTCCTAGTTGGATTTAATGGAAGAGAACAAAATGCAGAGGAATGTGAGAAGCAAAGAAACTACTGTGAATCAGCTCTACTGCTGCATTTCCATCCTGACCTGCAGGATGGTACTCCCTTCCAGGGTGTATTTCAATCAGCTCTGCCCTAACCCAGCTACATCAGCTTGAAGTGTCCCACAGAGCTTGTCTACCACACCCTGTAGCTCCTCCTGCTCTCTCAGCCCTGAACTCCCCAAGTCCCCATCATAGCCCCTCCACTCCAGCCCACAGCCTCTCTGCTGTCACCTGCAAAGTCCCCCTCCACAGCTCTGCTCCTGTACCTCAGCCCTGCCCTCTCTGGTCACATTGTCTGCTTACTGACCCGCCACCACAGCTCTTGTTGGAGTGTGACTCCCGGTGTTGTACTAAAGCTGGCCTCCAAGTGAGCCACACAGAGCACACACTGACACTACCCAAGCTCACTATTTCCTTAGGGATGTAGCAGGATTATCTGTCAGTTCTTCAGATGTAAAATAAACCTGTAAACACAACTTTCTTAAAGGGCACCAGGCAGTGAGTGAGAAGGCACAGAGGCCCTGATACAGGCTTGTATGGGAGAGCAAAGTACTTTCCAGTTTGGTGTGTTACAAATAAAACTGGATTGTGCAGTGACTGACACTGCAGGGAGGAGCACCCTTCTCACCTCCAGAGTACTCCCTGGGCTCCACTAAGCCTCGGGGCATGCAGAGGGTGACTCAGCCACCTGGAATCACCTCCAGAAGGACAGGCAGCTACAGGAGATGGCTGACTGTCAGGGAAGTACCTGAAGCAAGGGACAGGCCATAGGCACGCTCTGTGACTCTACGGCTAAGCCCATAGAACTGTTTGCTGCTCTGCCAGAGACAGTCCTACTCCTCCCAGCCACCCATGGCAATATGTACCTGCCACCTCTGCCTATCGAGGGATCAGCCTCCTCTGAACCCATAGTGAGTCAGTTCAAGCAGCTAAAAAGGCAGAGAACGCCTGTTATAAAAGAAAGGAATCATGGTCTGTCATTTTAGCTGCCTAAATTGGCTCATCACTCTTGTCAGAGCTGGCTGTTCAATTTGAATGCCTGTTTCCACACCAGATATTAACACTTCCCCGCCTAATCAGGATGCCACGAGGTCATATGGATTGAGAGATGCTCAAGCCAGCCTGGGAGGGAGCCAGAGAATGCTGGAAACCAGAAGGATTTGGAGAACTGTTTCTAAACTCCATTATTTCCACTGCATCCAAGATGCAGCTGGAGTCCACAGTGTCACAGTGTGAGAAGCACCGTTCTAGCTTATTTCTGGGCTGAAAAGAAGAAAATATCCAAAATCCAGGCTGTTCTAGGAAATCCAATTCTCAATGCTGACTCAGAAGGTCAATATGAAAGTTGAGGACATAATTCATAACAAATTTGAATGCCTGTTTCCACACCAGATATTAACACTTCCCCGCCTAATCAGGATGCCACGAGGTCATATGGATTGAGAGATGCTCAAGCCAGCCTGGGAGGGAGCCAGAGAATGCTGGAAACCAGAAGGATTTGGAGAACTGTTTCTAAACTCCATTATTTCCACTGCATCCAAGATGCAGCTGGAGTCCACAGTGTCACAGTGTGAGAAGCACCGTTCTAGCTTATTTCTGGGCTGAAAAGAAGAAAATATCCAAAATCCAGGCTGTTCTAGGAAATCCAATTCTCAATGCTGACTCAGAAGGTCAATATGAAAGTTGAGGACATAATTCATAACAAATAATTCCTACTGGTTTCTTTTTTTTTTTTTTTTTTTTTTTTTTCCACCCCAGCAGAAATAATAATTCTCACTTAGATAACTCAAAGTAAATCCAGCCTATCTGAGTGACAGCCCCAGGCTACACTTTTAATGAAGGCATAGCAGCAGTTTGCAGAAGGATCTCTGAATGGAGCTTTTGTAGCACCAGGATTTTAATGTGCTAATGACTTTTCCTCTTCCACCTCCCGTGTGGTTTTGAAAGAGCTCCAGTCCTCCTGTAACCCAGGGAACTCCAGCCAGGGACAAGGAGAAACCTTGTCAGATTTAGGAAGTCTCTCTCTTCCTTTAATATGTTAAAAGCAGAGAGTGAAGAGCCTGAGGGAATGAATGTTTTAGGTGAATGGATAGGGGAGCTTCTTATACCATGACTGGGATCTATTCTAGTCAGGCCAGGGCAGAAAGCTTTTATTCTTTGGGGTGCTTCTAAAAACAGGAATAAATGAGCGTGTTTGGTCTTTGCTTTTAGGCCCTGCTGCCTCCACTCATGCACTGGTAACTCAGACACTTGCTGGCAGCTGAGACAGGGCAGCTCTGTGCTGCAGGTCTTGGTTCACAGGTCTTCCTTCACCACCCATTCTGTAACCCACCTGTAAGTGCAGGACCCAGTGTTGAAGCCCAGAGGGAAGGAAAGTCCTGCCTCTGTATTAACACGGGGTGGATCTGTCCTTGTAGCCCATGGATGTTCCCAGCACAGAGCTCAGAGAGGCCAGGAGCTCAGGGGCCATTTGGGATTGCCCTCTAATGGCCAGCATGCGGCTGGAGAAAAGGATTACAAATGGGTTAATAAACTTCTCACACAGGTAGAGACAATATCTACTTTATGCAAGTGTGGATTCAGCTCACCTGCTCTGGACCTTAAGATCTAGAATATAACATTAGCATCACTGGATGGAAAAACACACCCAGAGAGTGACTCCTTTGGCTTGTGGCTCTTGTTTACCTGAGGAGATGCCCTATGTCTCCAGAATTCCTGTTTCTCTCTGCTGCCCACAAAGTAAGCCTATATAATGAACTCCAGCTGTAAATGTCTGAACTGCAGGTGAGACAAATCCAATTTCAGTGTCAGTCTCAGGAGTTACCAGCTCATGCCCACTTCTTGGGATACATTTGCATTCACATACAAGAGAAAAACAAGAAACATTCACTGTGCAGCACACAGGAATAACTGAAGGAGTGTGAATGAACATCCTTCACTGGGAAGCAGCTCCTACCCTAAGTTGGAGGGACTCCAGGAGTGTGCTGAAGAGTGTCAGAGCCAATGCTGCAGTGCCCTAAAGCTGCCCACAGCTTGCTAGAGAGAGGTGGGGAAGAAACATTCCAGAATAGCTGGCCTATGAGCCGGGGAATGTGAGTGGTCATTGGAACTTCTCTGGTTTTCATCATTAACACTCAGGGCTTTCTTGTCCTGGAACATAACCCAGGCTGGGTCCCAGAGCATCACACCTCCCTTCTGCCCTTGGAACTGCTTGTGCTTTCTGCTGCCTGTGATTTGGAAAAAGGGAGTGAAGAAGAGAAGAAGGACAAAGCATGGAATCGTGCTTAAAAGCACCTCTTTCCAAGAGCATTCTCTCATAGAGCTAATGTCCCTGTTTCTTGATTGTTCAAAACAAGCTGTGGCTTCAGAATCTGTTACAAAGTCAGCTCTGTCCTTAAAGCCAAAGGACACCTTGCAACACTTTTGGAAAGGACAGCCTGGGAAAGTGTGAGGACCAAAACTTTCCTCAATGAAGTTGCCTTCAGT